CACAAAAAGCTGCAGAGAGAAAGTATGATTTTATTTCGCTGTTTTCACTCGACAGGACGGCTTGTGAGTGCATCCTGTGTACTTGCTGCAGCACCAGCTGTCCCAGCTACTGGTGGAACGGAGACAAACACCTGGGAGCTGCTGTCCTCGTGCAGGTAGAATGTTAATTATTCAAATACGAAATAAACCTCATAATAAGGCTATGATTGAACCTTAGAGCAAACTGTATATTTTGAAATAAGAAAAACCCTGAATCTTGTCGTCCCACAGGCGTACCGATGGATGATCGACGCCCGCGACGAGTTCACCGAGGAGCGTTTGGCTAAACTCCAGGACCCCTTCTCCCTTTACCGCTGCCACACCATCATGAACTGTACGAAGACTTGCCCCAAGGTGATTTGCATCAATAATCTGCACGTTTCATCACAAATTTAAAGGTTTTGGTGTCTTATTGTTTGTTCAACAAACCTCTGCAGGGTCTCAACCCAGGAAAGGCCATCGCAGAGATCAAGAAAATGATGGCAACCTACAAAGAGAAGAAAGCAGCAGCCGTGTAACCATTAACAAATTAAACTCAACTTAAACCTTAAAACTGAGTCGGGAGGAAGAGACGAGCCAGCCTAAAAGTTTTTGCTATATTAGCACCTTTTAAAATTATGACTGTTTTCTGTTACTTAATGGAATAAAAACAGCAGAAGTTTTCTGTAAATTACCTTTAAGCAAAATGTATTGTGTGCTTCAATACGAAATGGATCACAATTATGCTGTTTGTATATTAACAACAACTTGCTTGCATGGTGTTACATTTGTTCTGATAATAAAACATGTGTTCTTAATTTGATAGTGTTTCATTAAAAACAGATGATGGGATGTCGTGGGTTTTGGAGCACTAGATGGTTGTGGGTGTCCCTGCTGTGGAACCAGCAAGTTACTTTAGAATAACAGGGAGGGAGAGGTGAAACAAAAAACAATAAAAAAATTTAATTGATGATTTATGATATAAAAGAGGAAAAAACAACATATTTACATTGCATTTACATCTAGTAATATTGGTATTATTGTATTATAATCTATCTCTATTGAAATATACTGCAACATATTTAATGCATTTGTTCATTTTTAAGTGTCTATATATAAACATAAACCTAAGCAGAAAAACATGAACTTTTCATTTAGATAACATACTTGGAAAATATGAATATCAATATGAATCAGATTTCTTTTTCACTCATAACGTATTTCATTAATAGAATAATAGAAAAAATAGCAATCAAATAAACATGTTTAATTGTTTGAAATAATCTGCTGTTTTAAGATGAATGCAGAAATAAATAAATAAAAAAGTCCCCGATGAATGAAAACGCGCGTGACCTTTTTGGGCGCTCAGGCTTGCCGTAGAAGTGAAGCTACATCAGGCTGCAGCTGTCTTGTAAAAAAAAATCCCTGTCAGGGGAGTGAAGCCTCGGTTTCTAAAGCTATGTGGAGGCACTTATCGTGACAAAAGGATGAATAGGCGTGGTAGGTGCTCCTAAAAGTTTTTAATCAACAGTTTTATAGCGGACCGAACTGTTGGGGCAGTGTTTGCTAACTATTAGCCGACAGGCTGGTGTCCCGCTGCAGCAGCAAAGAAAGCTGCAGTCACTTCTAATCTGTTAACTGCAAAACAAAACACTTTTTCAGGATAATGATAAAAATCTTTTACATCTATTGTACGCGCACAGTATAAATAAACTGAAAAAAGGATTAAATCTGATCAAGACCTTAATAAACGGGGAATTATCTTGATCAGAAACCTATCAACAAACAACTTGTTGATGTATTTAAATATTGGAAGTGTCTGACCTGCAAAATCTAATATTGTTTATTATTGTGAATTAATTAGGTTCTAGGTAACTCACATCAAATTCAATCTATTCTAAGATTATTTCTAAATTAAATATCCACAGATCCACTTGTCTACAAGCAGATTCCAATGAATTGTNGAGTTTACACCACACCTTGATGAAACGATGCAGGACTTTTAATGTTATTTTTTGTCGTTAAAAACTTCTCTATGTAAACACAAGCCGACTGCCCGTGAAAAAGAAGCCAACCCTTTTTGGTTGAGGGCCTTGAACAGAGCGAGCATGTGATCTGGTACTTCCAACCCGTGATTATTCTGCAGGTTTTTTGCTTAAAGCTGATGTTTGTTTTTGTTTGGGATATTTGTAGAGAAATTACCAGGGTGACTTCAGGAACAGGATGCAGTTATTTCTCATGTTAAAGCAGGGTGTTTGTGTGACTTTTACACCCTCTTATCAACACATTTTTATTACCTGGATAACCTAGTGTTCAACCAGTGGACTGGATGTTTACTTTTGGCAGCTTTAAAAAGAAAATACCTCGACAGGTGAAGCTATAATTAAAGGCCGATTCAAGAAGTGTCAAATTCAGTCACGCAAGAGGACCAAACCTCTAAACTTGGTCCAAAGCCACGGGACAATCTCTGTTGTATAAAAAATTATTCCTAAATAAATACAAATTTCCTTTTCTAAATGATATATTATGTAGTGTTTAGAACAATATATAACTTAACAAATAAATAAAAAAGATAAAATTTAGAAAGACATATCTTATCACGATCCAGAAAATCAATCTAAAAGAGAAAACTCACTAAAATTTCTATTATTTGACTTTAAAATAAGAAGCAAAAACAAACAAAGATAATTTCTGCAAGTTGTTTGCCTGCGCTAAACACAGTGACAAAGAAAAAAATAATTTACATTTAAAATATTACCTTTGGGGCCAAATGAAATGTTACCAAGGGCTAGATTTGGCTCGCTGAGCTTGAGTTTGCACTTGTGGTTTGGGGTGGACCTCCAGTTCCTTTTAAAGTGCAAGTGCCATCAAATATCCGTGACAAATACAAACGCACAATTGGAAAGATAACAGTGATTGAGACGAACGGTCGAGGTATTCGCATACAGCAGCGACAGGAAGTGACAACAAAGAGGAACGCCTGCATGTAAACTGAGCATTGCTACACAAAATGTGGAGAACAATCTGATGTGACGTTATATTTATTTGAGTCACTATCTGAGAGAGATGAAGAGTCTTGTTTGTATTTAAACAAAGACCAGGGAGTCACTTCCTGTTTTGATTTTGCCATGCCAAGTCCAAGTTTAAGAGAGAAAAAAAGCCAGTTATGTAAAAAATGGGTAAAATTCTGTATATCATGTTTTTTTCCCACTTTAAATTAGTAAGAAATGTCATAACTTTAAAGGAGTAAATATTGCTCACCACCTTTCATTACACTGAATATTACACTGAAATTATTTTTATTCTGAGCCATTTTCGTCGAACCTCGTAAATGACAAAATCGCTGTTGTGGTCAGTGTATCGTTTGGTCATTGGATTTTCATCTTCAAAACGGGTCTTAAAAGACAAGAAAGTGGCTATTTGATTTTTTTTTTTAATATCCACT